CCCCGTTAGTGTTGGTCTTTTGAAGGGAGTGAGGGAGGTGAAGTAATAAATGCATCACTCATTCGCTGATAAGAACCACATCTGCTCAAAATTCTGGATACAAAACACAGCACACACACAAACACACAGAATAAATAGCAGTGTATTTTGGCTCACTTCTATAAAGGGTACACAAAGGCTCTGGAGATTTATCCTGTTTATAGCAGCAGTTGCTGACCCTGTAAATCAAGTCCACCGCTTTAGAGGGAAGCATAACCATTTGGGACTTAAAAAAAACCACAGCTCTCCTCAGTCTCGGTTCAGTACTTTACCATCCTCTATCTCTTAAGCTTTCAGTCAATAATGGTTCTTTCTGTAGAAGGATGCTCTCAATGTTGCTTTGGGTTTCCAGAAATCGGTCCCGTTTTGAAAACGTGGGCTGGCTAAATGCCAGGCGTTGGTTTTGGCCCAGGCTTGGTCCAGGCTGGAGATCTGAGCATGACACGGTAGTGACTGTTGTGCTTATACAACCCATCTCCTCTGTAGGTGTAAAAGACCTGCACAAATCATTACAAATCTAGTCCCCTGAATGATTTGTGAAATTTTGTTGGACCAGTTTTGCAAGTTCCGCTCCGTATATTTTAGATTGGGTAATTAGAAAAGCCTTTGCTCTAGGCACTAAAATCTACCAGCTGCTTTATCGCTGGAGCGAGTAGAATGCCTCTAAACTTGTTTTTGTAGCTTTTCACCCCTGCTATGTCCAGCTGTGAGAATCGGAGCTTGTGAGTTAAGGTATGCAGCTTCAGTAGACTTAGCAGAAAAGATCTGCCAAGAGAAGTGCACCCTCATTAAGTTTGCCGACGACACCAAGCTGTGCGGTGTGGCTGACACGCCGGAGGGAAGGGATCACATTCAGAGGGGCCTGGACAGGCTGGAGAGGTGGGCCTGCGTGAACCACGTGAAGTTCAAGAAGGCCAAGTGCAGGGTCCTGCACGTGGGTCGGGGCAATCCCAAACACAAGCACAGGCTGGGCGGGGGGTGGCTCGAGAGCAGCCCTGAGGAGAAGGACTTGGGGGTGCTGGTGGATGAGAAGCTCACCATGAGCCGGCAATGTGCGCTTGCAGCCCAGAAAGCCAACCGTGTCCTGGGCTGCATCCAGAGCAGCGTGGCCAGCAGGGCGAGGGAGGGG